AGTTTAGTATTCCATCATTTGAAGATATATTTAAAAAGATGTCTTCATATAAAGATAATTCACATCAAATATTAAAACATGATGGATCTTTAAGGTCTAGTATTTAGTGTAAAATTGAGCAATTTGCTGAACCACCATAAAGCAGATTATCTTAAAGATCAGTTGGAATGACTTTGCATATTTCAAATAGATTTGCCTCCTAAACTAAATTGGATACTAAATAGCAATCAATAGGAAAATTCACTTCGAGCTTTATAGAAAAACCAGTTATTTCTTAGCCACTTAAAACAAGTGTGATAGATAAATTACCATTAAAAGAGCTTACTGATATTAGAAATAGAGTTGAAGGGAGTACTTAAAGTGAAGTTCAATAACTGTCAAAGAATTATGTGTCTGAATTGGTGAAATTGGCACAAATAATAAATAAATAAGTGAGAAGATGCAAAATATGATATTATTAATATGTTATAATCTCATAATAATGGAACCACTAGTCAAGAGTATAAAATAGTAGTTGAGAAATACTAAAGATATTTGGATGAGAGATCTAAATTGAAACATAGATCTAATGATAAGTTAAATTCTGCAGTCAGAAAGATTTATCTGAATCCTCTTCTTCCTTCATTATAATCTGATCATTAATAATCAACAAATCGATTGAGAAAAAGACAATAATCTTAATTAAAAGAACAATATTCACATTTTTAACAAGAATCTATAGATTAAATAAATACTAACATCTAATAATCTATTGTGAATCAACATTCTAAGTCCATACCTAAAAAATAATAACATTAATCATAAGCCAATCTTGAAACACCACAATAATCAAGTTTTTTTGTTGGCTTATACAAAAATTAGAGAATTGAGAATTAAAGCAGAAACATTACTATTAAAGACTTGGTTTAATTTCAAAAAAATTCATCTGAATAATAAAATATTACTCATTTACCATAATTGTAATAACCATAAAATGAAATTAATTTGAGTAGATATTTTGTGAGAAAACCAAGACCTAAGAAAATGTCTTTTGATGAAATCTCTTTTACAAATAAATGGGAAAGAGAAAGAGGAAATAATGTTGTGAGAATTGATAAAATGTAAGCTGAAGAATTTTCAGAAAATGTAGTTTAATTTCTTTTATCACAGGATATTATGAAATTATTCTTTTAAAATTCAAGTGTTATTTAATTGAAAGCTATTATGCTTGATCTTTTAAAAGGAGTTTACTATGAAAACATACTTGATTTTGGAAAAATTATCTCTTTCTTTACTACATAATAAATTACTTATCTGGAAATATTTTATATAAAATATTCAATTTCTTAAGTATTGATAAATGCTAAATATAACTTTATTTTTGTTGAAAGAGCTCTAAATTAATTTGAAGAATATCGCTATCTTTTATAAAAGCCAATACCATTTATAACTAAATTATTTGATAATGCTTTTTACTCTAATGTTGTTAAAGGTATTATGATGAAATTACTTAAAAGTCCTGCTTACAATAAGTTTTTGACAAATCACAAATATGAAAGCGAATCATTCATTTATGCAATAAAGAATGGATTATTTCCTTATTTGGTAGGTGAATATGTAGCTTTACCTTTGCATGCAAGAATAAAAGATGTTAAAGCCGAACTATTTCGATAATAAATTCTATCACCATATATTAATCAAATTCTCGTCATTTAAGTAAGAAATTTACTAAATGAATATTATCTTGATGAACTATATATTAAAGATGTGGAAAGAAGATTACTATTTCCTAAAGAAGGCTAAGATGTGTCAGGAGAAACATATTTTCCCCTTTATTACATTAAATCCTATATATAATGTAAAAATACTCTAATACCAACTTATGATATTAAAGCTTTAATAAAAATAATAAAAATTAATCCTTGTTAATTGGATTCAGATTCAACTCTATTTGCAGATAATATCAAATTTTTAGAAGAATCTGAATAAATGACTGAAGAATTGTAACTATTTAAATGATAATCTATTGATATTTTCTTTTTAATATTATTCTACAGTGTTCATAAACTTCTTATATTCTTTTTTGTTTAACTAAGAGAAGCCTTCATAAGTAAATCCAGATCTCATTTTGCTTTTAAGGTTTCCACTCAACAAATAGTAATAAAAAATTGATTCTTAAAACTTCAAATGCATATTTTTTAAATTTAAGATGACTTCTCCTGTGCTTTAGAAAGTTAATTTCACCGAATAAAAAACATGCATCAGCTAATTATGTGAAATTGTCTATATAAAATACAATGAATGTAATCCAATTTGAACATAAGATTGATCTTAACTATTTAACATTTTGGTTGTATATTTAAAATATTCTCTCAAATGAAAAAGTAGAGAAAATCAGTTAAATGTAGGATAACAATCTACAATGCTTTCTTATTAAGTTGTATATTTTAAGTTCATTTTGTAATAATTTTAAATCCAAAATATATTCTATTTTCTTATAATGATACAAAAGTGGTTAATGATTTGATATTTAGGTTATTAGAAAAATAATAATTATCTGAGATTAAGTTTAATTTATAATTAAAAAGTAGTTAAAAATTGATGGCAAGTGAGAGAATACATAAGTATGAAGAATCAAAAGGTGCAGTATAGAAAATCGATTAATTAGATTTTATTCAGAAATGCAAACAAAAGAATTGTTTTTCGAATAGTTATGGGAGTCCATTTTGTTTAGTTAAGAAATTTAATGATCATAATATTTTAAAGGAGAGTTATAATAAGATGAATGTTCGAGGAGATGAAAAAGGTGGTTTAAATGATCGTCTTTAGAAATATAGATCTTAAGCTTAGTTGGCTTTGGATAAATTAGAAACAGGTGAATAATATACTAATTTTAGGTAGATTACAAATATTAGAAGTAATTGCTAATAAGATAGATGTAATAAAAGTGTTAAGAAGAAGAAGAATAGATGTAACATAGAATTTAAGTTCGGATGAAGAAAGCTTAGTAATAATGAATATTTAATATATATTTTAATGGATCAAATAGAGCGTAGAATATAATAATTAAACCCTGATTCCTCATCTGTGAAGGAAATTATAGATATCTTATCACAATATCATTAAATAACAACTGTATGTATTTTTTGGGAAATACAATTCAATAGAGAGATTCTATACAAAAAGTAGTATTAAGCTTAAAATCTTGTTAAGAATACTTCAGCCAATAAAATTACGATCATTATGGAGAAATAGATCTGAAGGTTTAGAATGTTATAGAGGATGTTCAGCGTTTAGAAGTAGTGAAAATGAAGAAATCCTTCACAAAGAAGATGTCAACAAAGTATAAATTATGTAATATCTTTCTTATAGATCAATTCGAACGTTGTCAAATAAATTACGAATAGCATTACATATATTGGAGGCAGAATGGATTAGCAAGAATAATACATCTTTCCAATATAAGTGGGCTTCAAATAAAATGAAAAATATTTAACAGTAGAAAAGTTTAGTATTTTAGAGTGATGAAGATGGATATGAAAAAGTGGGATAAAAAATAGTTTGAATTATTAATTTGTAGAATTTGTGAAAAAAAGGTACAAGCTTTTGAAATGAAATAACATTGTCAGGAATGCCAGAAAAGTGCGGAAGCAAAGAAACGGAAATTAGAATTGAATTTGGAAATGGCAAATCTTTGTGAAGCGGCTTATTAAGAAAAAAGAAATGCGTAAGTAAAACAAGCTCTAATAAAGTAAGATTTGATAATAGTTAGTAAAAATAAGAAAGTATAAAAAAATAATAATAAACTGAGAAGAACCTAGACTTTCAATAATGAGGATTAAGAGAATGAATAAGAGTTAATTAATATAAATAATGCTATGACAATAATAATTAATTATGCTGACAAAATAGTGAATTAATCAAATGATGATCCTAAGTGTAAGAATTATGTGACTAAATAGAAAATTTGGTAATCCTTAATGATTTATCGAATGCAGGCAATTACATAGAGAGTAATGAAGCAAAGACAATAATAACACGTGCTCATAAGAGTATTCTTGATCGTATGGAATATTTTAAGAAATAAGAAGGTCATCATTAATAATATGATATGACACTTTAACTTTCTAAGATTTAAGCAATGAAGAAATCATTTGCAAAATAAAATTCACTTTCATTTAGATAATCAAAGTTTTCTTAAGTGTCTTAATCACCAAGAAATAGAGTAGCTGATCCAATATATGAACAAGAAGAAGGAGAAAAGATAAATTAACCAACAATACCTAAAAGAAGAGAATTTAAAATGAATACTTCGATATTTAAAGTGAATGAGGGTTGTGAGAGTCCTAGAATATCAAATAAACCATATACAGTAGGATTTATAAATGATCATACAGATTCTGATAGTTTGAGATAACCATTCTCATTTGATTCAGATGCTGGAGATAATAAAGTTCCATCAATAAAAGAAGAACATAATAATACATCTTCTGAAGAATCTAGTTTATCTAATGCTTCTAATAAATTAAAAAGATAATTAAAAATTAAATAAAAGAAAAAAAGAGTATCTAATTTTCACTCTTAAGATATTTAATAAGCAAGTACTCCAACATCTTCCTCTTAATAAGTTTAGGTGGCTAAGAAAAGTAAATTCAGCAGTAATGCTTCTAATAATAGTCCTCAACTTATTTAAGAATAGATTGATCCTGTTCATACAGACAAAGGTTACCATTCTGACTCTGATATGATTAAAACTAATTCTACTATATCTATTGAGCAAAAAAATGTAGGAATTAAAGATTTTGAATTTATTAAACCTTTAGGTAAAGGTGCTTATGGGTGGGTTTTTTAAGTAAAAAAGAAAGGATCTGGAGATATGTATGCATTAAAAATTATTGATTGTGCTTAGAGAGTATTAATAATATATATTAATTAATAGAATTTAGAAGCTTTTTTAGAATAGTTAAAAGCTGAAAGGAATATATTTGAAATACTTAATAGTCATTTTGTAGTCAAAGCCTATTTCTCATTTGTTCATGAACATTACTTATGCTTTGTCTAAGAATATATGGTAGGTGGAGATTTGGCTAGTATTTTGAAAACATACACAGCATTAGATGAATTCTATGTGAGACATTATATGGCTGAAATAGTATTGGCTTTAGAGTATTTGAGAAATTAAAATATAGTTCATAGAGATTTAAAACCAGAAAATATTTTATTAGATTCCCAAGGACATACAAAATTAGCTGATTTTGGATTATCTGAAAAGGGTTTGAATAGCAGATTAAAAATGAAAAGGGATAGCTCTTTATTACCAGATTGTATTTCCTAACAATTTAATGGTTCCTCTGAGTTTTATGAACATATTAAAAAAGCTGAATCCATCTTTATTGAATCTAAAAATAGTGGAAATAAAAAGTATTTCTTAAAAAATATATAGGATTATTGGAACTCCTGATTATATTGCACCTGAAATCATTCAAGGAATATCTGTTACTAATTATTCTGCTGATTATTGGAGTTTAGGAGTTATCATGTATGAAATGTTATGCGGTATTGCTCCTTTTAATGATGATACTGTTGAAAAGATTTTCGAAAACATACTCAATCTAAGAATTGAGTGGCCTAAATTAGGAGATGATGGTGAAGAATGTATCTCCTATGATTCTTATGATCTTCTTACACGTCTCCTAGAATCAGACTATAAAAAGAGGATTGGTCATGTCTCTATTGATGAAATCAAATAACATAAATTTTTTAAAGGTTCTCAAATATATGAGTTTTATATAGGTATTGAGTGGAATACATTACTTAATAAACCTGGAGTTATCATTCCAGAATTAGATTAATCTTCTAGAGACACTGAAAAAATGGAACAATTTTTAGTTAAACTAACAAAACCAACTAAAGATTAAGAACATAAAAAATTAACATAGCAACTCAAAAATTAATTATAAAACTTAGAACGCATAGATCTTTTGAAATAAAGAAGTGTTCAAGAGGCTGAGGAATATATGTAATTTGTTTTACTTTCCTTTTTTTAGATAAATGATTGAAAGAGAATAAAGTTGTATACAAACATAGATTGATTAACTTACTTAATTTACTGCCAAGTTATATTCTTCGCATATTAAAAACAAATGAATGAATTATATAATATAAGATAACTTGTCATATGTTGAGTCTTTTATTGATTTCATTAGCTTATTCGATAGAAGTTAGTATTTCGAATATGGATAGTGCTATCATAGATACAGTCTGGTGTGGTGCTCATAATCAATCTAATGACAATGTATTCAATCTATTTCTATTTCCTCTAGATCCTAATTATGAGTTCAAAAGGAACAATATATTTAAGTTAGAATAATGGAGATATTTGGTAAAAATTGGCGGAAGTCTTTCATAGTAAGGGTTTGCTTGTTTTATAAGATGAAAATGAAAAAGTAGGTGTAGTAAATAAAATATAAAAAAGCCAAATAGATCCACAATTAATTATATTCTTAGGGACAGAATTTGTTAATTGGATATCCCCTGATTATGGATAGACAATTAATACAATTTACACTGGGAGATAAATGAGAGAATTTCAATTTCATCCAAAACGTAAAGATTGGATATTGGCATCTTCATGGTCAAAATGTTAAATGAAATAAAAAGAATGTTTTGTTACAAAGGATCTGATGATTAGTTAAGATATGGGTTTGAATTGGGAAGTTATTGCGAAATATGTAAATTAATATTCATGGGGATTTAAGAGTCCTAATAATGAATAGATTCCTGAAGAGAGAATAATGATAATATATGAGCCAAATGGAAAAGGACATTAGTAATTATCAGGTTGGAATATGAAGACACATTTATTTTATAGTGATGATTTTATGAAGACGGAAACTATGTTAGTTAATTAAGGTAGTAAATTTCAATTGACACCTAATCATATATTTGTAGCTTAAGTGATGAATTCTTCAAATTAAGAAGTAACATTATTAGTATCAGAATCAGATGAATATGAATACAATTTTAGATATGTTTAAATGCCAGACATATTAAAAGATCATAGTTATACAATAGTAGATTCATAATATGGAGCGTTCATAAACATTAATCATTTGAAACCAAGTTCAATCATGGGTATGGTGGATGAGAGAAGAATATGAATGAATTTAAAGATAGAATATACAACATATATATCAGATTCTACAGCATCTAGATATAGAATTTCATTAAATTATACAGTGAGAACAGAAGAGGGTTAATGTGATTTTGAGAGAGTATTGGGTTTAGAGGGAATTTATATTGCAAATGTATATGCATTAGAATAAGCAGAATTATATTAATCTGAAATTGATGAAGATTCAGCTAGAATAAAAGAGAGTCATTTAAGTAAATTTAAATAAACAAAAATAACTTTTGATAAAGGTAGTAGATGGTAAGCATTGACACCACCTTAAGTTGATTCAGAAGGTAAAAAGTTATAATGTGATCCTAAAACATGTTCATTACATTTACATTCTGTTTCTACAAAAATGTAATTTGGTCCATTTTATTCAACAAAGAATTCGATAGGCTTAATATTGGGAACAGGAAATATAGGAAAATATTTAAGTTGACTAAGTTAATACTTATATGTCAAGAGATGGAGGTTTAACTTGGTTTGAAATAGCAAAAGGATCACATATATATGAAATTGGAGATCATGGTGGTGTTATTGTATTAGCAAGTGATTAATAAGCAACAAAGGTATTAAAATATTCGTGGAATGAAGGATTAACATGGGAGATATTTTAATTTAGTGAATAACCTATTGAAATTACAAATATAATAACGGAACCTTCTAATATTGGGACAAGGTTTTTATATATGGTACATCTAATTTATATATTAATGATGAAAATATCGAATAAGGTAATATTGTTAAAATTGATTTTTCTTCTATTTATGGAAGAGAATGTGTTGGAGAAGATTAACCTTCAAGTCCAAATAGTGATTATGAATTGTGGTCACCAACTGGAAAGATTAATCCTGATTGTCTTATGGGAATGAGAGTTGAATATGTTAGAAGGAAAAGAGATGCTAAATGTTTCAATGGTGAAGATTTATAAAGAATACATTCTGTTTAATATTGTTAATGTACTGAGGAAGATTGGGAATGTGATCTTAATTTTCATAGAGAAAACTAGGATCCTAATGCTAAATGTATTCCTTATGAACTCTATGAATAAAATTTTGAAGCACCATAAAATGAAGATTATTATGAAGTTCCTAGAGGTTATCGTAGAGTTTCAGGAAATAAATGTTAAGGAGGAATTGGATATAATCCAGGATTTAAATTTTGGAAATTCAGAAATGTATTTCAATTTTTATTATTTAGATTTGGGATTTTATGCTTATTTGTATTTTTGCTGCCATAGTTTATTGTATATATAAGAATAAACATCATTTTGGAGATTCTGATGAAATATTTTCAAAAAAAAAAAGTGAACTTAGATTTGGAAATCCTGAACAAGAAACTTTAATTTGAAGAAAATCAAAATATGTGAATATATATAAACCATTTTATCATTAATATTTCTTTATTATTTTAATAATTTATTCATCATTAAAACTCATCCTAAAATTTAGTAAAAATTAATTACTTCTTTTTCACTTTATCTCTTTTATTCACTTTTTTTATTTTAGTAGTATTATAATTCAACTCAAATTATTAATAATTTATTGTTAAATATAAAATTATAATTCAAAATTCAAAGAGTAACATGAACGAAAATGAAAATATCCTTATGTCTGATAATAGTTTCAATTAATAAAAGTTTTGTATTACACCATCAAAACCAGAAAAAAGAATTAGAGAGAACTATTTATTACAAACTCCTATAACTCCTAATGTATAAAGAACTTTATTCACTAATCATAAAAATCTATCTGCTTCTAAGTTTATAATTGATGAATAATTGGTTGATTAATAAATTTCATAAATTGAAGTTGATTAAGCGGTAGAATTGATCTAAGAAATTTGCTTAAGATTTAATCTCACATTTTCAAAATTTTCTATTGTTTCTTAAGATGTTATTAGACTCATTTATTTATTTAAAGAAATCAAAATGATTTGTACATATCCAATAGAAAAACTTTATGATTTTTTAAATGTAGTTTAAATGAGATACCCAAACTCAATAAGTTTAGTTATTTCATCATAGAAATTACCAAGTATTTTATAAATTAATGATATATTCGAACTGAGATAGATTAAATAAGGTTTAGTAAATATTACGTATTTATAATTGTATCGTCGTGATTCAGATACAATTATGTAAATTTTAAGAACTCTTAATGTGAAATAGGCATTCTATTTTGATGATGTCGAATAATGCCGATATTTGCTTTCTGAAAATATCAAATAACATATAGTTTGTAACAGAGGAGTTTTACCTGCTACAAATATTCAAGAATTAAGAAATTATCTTTCTATTTAGACATCCTATATCGGACCAACTTTAGATATCGGTCATATTTAAAGCGAATACAAACCAAATTATCAATTAAATAAAGTTATATTTATGGATTCAGAAAGTTATTCAAGAATGCTCACTAGATTAGAGGAATAAAATTTATAAACTGTAGCATTAAAATTTTAAAACAATAAAAATATAACAACTTTTGAAGACTTTTGCATAAATAATTAGATAACCTGTAAATATTAAGCTATTTCATCTTCTGCAGATTTGAAAACATAATATGAAGTACTAGTTCACATAGATTAAGTTAATAGTTTGTAAGCTTATTTAAATGATTGTGCTTTTTTGAATAAGGACTGTATTAGTATAGTTTATTTGTCAAAAGAATAATATTTAATAAAAAGAAAATCCTTATTTTTTTAGTAAACTAGTTTAGAATTATTGGAAGCTATTTACAATTAATTATGTTTAAATTAAAATAAGGTAAATTTGAATTAAATAAAATAATGGTTTATGATTGATAATCCAATGAAATTAATGAATATGTTGGAAAAACATTAATTGATCTAAATTGATACAATTATACCAATGAAATGTTCAGTATCTATTGATACAATGGCAGATACAAATTCAGAATAGATTAATTAATTAATAAAATATGTTAAATTGCATAGCAGAAGAATTATATCGTTGAGAAAAGATGTTAGTACAGTTAAACATTTTGAAATAGATTTGGAAGATGTAGCAAAATTCATGAATAAATCAATAATAGAATTATGTATTTAGATTGAGTCAAAAAATAAAGTATTTTTAGAACCTGAATTTTACGAATTTCTGATAAATTATCAAATAAGTGATAATCAATCGCATTTTGCAAATAATAATAAAATAAAGAATTAACTATTTTAATGTGCATAGGATATTACAAAAATAAAATAATAATAAATTTAAGAATTAGATATTTGGTTTTGTCTTGGTTAAATGTTAAAAATATCATCATTATCTAAATGTATAAATTATTATTCAAATCAATAAAAGTTTGCTGAGATTGTTGATAAATATTTTACAACAGAAAATAAATTAACGATAGGTGAATTATTTTAACATAATCATCTCAAATATATGCCAATCAAAACAATTGAAGGATTGAGAGAGAAAACAAAAATTATTACAGATATTAGAAAGATTTATCAAAGTATTGTAAAAGATAAAGATAGAGATATGTTAAATAGAATACCTATTAATAGAAGAGTTCACTTCGAATTAACAAAATAATATATCTCATATGATTTAGATTAACTTTCAGATTTAGTCAACTATTATATTGATTAATAGATTAAGTAAACATAAAAATATAGAATAAAAGGATGGTTAATAGATTTACCAATAAAAAAGGTCAAGTTTTCATGATATAATCAATATTTCTTTTAAATATATATATATATTTTAATAATGTCAAAGAATGTTAAACAGTTACTTTAAGATCCAAATTATACAGTCCCTCTAGAGGTAATCAAACGAGAGTTAAGCAAAATACCAGGAGGAGATGATGTAGAAATATAGATTACACTTAATAGAAATATAAAGAAATTCAATAAACATTATTGCCTTTGTTAATGGATGGAATTGAAGAATTATCTAAAGAATTAGAGATAATGATACAAAATCCTGAAAAAATTGATCCTGAAGAAAGAGAACGTTTTAATCCATGCATTTATTTAGGGTATATCAAGAGAGCTATTATTATAGATAATATTTAATGAGAAACAATCCAAAGTAGTATTGATTAAATAATAATATATTAATTAAAATATTTAATTTTATATGATTAGAAGAATCTTTTGGAATGTAAAGAATTCATTTTTTGGAGCAGGAATGCTTATATTGATACCAGTACAATTCATGTATTTCCCAGTTTTACTTGGTGTCCCAACATATGCAGGAACTGTATTATAATCTGGTAATATATTAATCTTAAATAGGTCTAACATATTATGATGAATATGATGGAGATGTCAATGAGGGTAATTATTATAAAACAAAAAGTGCATGATCATTATAAATCAAATAAATTATTCAAGCATTATTTATATCATTTTATATAATTAACCTTTTAAACCATATATTTAATAATAATCTGTTTTTAAGAATTGAATGCTGTTTTATTCAAACATTTTATTCTAATAATTCAAATAGTTGGGAAATAGAAAAAATTCTTGATTTCTTATTATTAATTATAGAAATGAAATACTGAATATTCTGTTCAATCATTGAGAATGATATTTTATATATTATAAATATAATTGTAGATTGTAATGTTCATTTATATGTTTTATTAGAGGTATTTTTAAGTACTTTGCCTATATTTTATTATAAAGTTATAAGCTCTTATAAATATGCACTACTTAATTAAGTTGCTTCTGCTTATTAAACATCTTAAAGATGGTTTGAAATTCTTATAATTTCTGCAAGTGTTGCTCTTTCTGTTACTGCCTTATTTCTTTTCATGTCTAACATATCAGATAATGGTTTTTATTAGGAGTATTATTCTTTTTTTGATGATTGAATTTTAACCTTTTCTTTACCTATTGAAGAACCAAATGCACTTTAATAATTATTCTTTATTTGAATATCATCTAAGGGATGATATTATTTCTGACTTGGTGAGTATATTGCACGAGTCAAACCCATTTTTATTGGAGATTCTTATTTTGGAAATTTATTATCCATAAGATTTTTTAAATGAGTTGCAGATTATCTATGCGATAAAGCTTGATTTGAATTCTTTTCCTCTTGATTCTTAAAATTGTAAAGTAATTCACTTTTTTAAATAAACTTCTAATTCTCAAATCCCTAAACTTTAGAATAAACTTTATCTCTTATTCCCTTTTTAACATCATTCCAATTTTATGAATCATTTTTTAACAACGGAATATTAAATTAGGATGGCGAGTTTTATAGCTAAAGTCAATGAATATTTTTACTGTTGTTTAAGAATATTTCATTTACAGTTAAAAATTATTTTTATTATATTTAATAATTCTAAATCATGTCATCAGTCTTCAAAATTATACATCTTCAAATCAAGTTAACAAATACTAACTTTTGATATACCTAGCTCCATCTCTCTATGTGTCAATCTTTTTATTAAAATTCAAATTGAATTTATAGGATAAGAATAAAAATAGAAAAAAAATCGATTTTTTAAGACTTTCTTATAAGGGATACAAAATAACTAGAATTAGGCGAGTACATATTGGATTCTAAAATCTAGAAAATATTTTAATTTATATTTATAACAAAAAAGAATAATTTATAATTACATTTTACATATACAGTTTAAATCTACTTATAGTTTTTTCAAGATAAGGATAGTGATTTATATTTAATAAGGAAATGTAAGATATTGTTTGATATTATTTTAAACAAATATTAGTTTTATAAAATTGTTATCTAATATTTGGATAGTTAATCTTTTTTACTTTTAGGTCATGATATTTTCAAATAAAAACTTATAAGAAAATTTATGCAAGAGGATTAATCAAAAAAAGTAGATCCTATGGAGGCATTTAGAAAAAAAGAAGATTATAGGGAGGCATGCTAAAAATTAGATGGTTTGCATTCTTAAAATAAAGAAAACGATGAAACAAAATATTTGATGCTATTTAAGAAATAAGAAACTTCAAGAAAAGATTTATGTGTAATAATAAGAGTTTATAATGGAAATATGTTATGGATGTAAAAAATAGATAGAGCAGCATTAGATGAAATGATTTTAAAAACAGATATTAAAGGAACTTATTCATCATTTTGTGAATTAATCAGATTTGCAATTAGTGAAAATTCATATGATTTTGTTTAATTTGAAGCACAATTAGATATAGTACTTTACTTTTCTCTATAAAGACATGTTTAACTTAAAGGTTAAATACCTTTAGATTAAGGTTTACCAATAACAAATGATGAAGACACAAGAAAAATTTAATTTTAATTTGTTTGCGATTTGGTTGATGTTTTAAAGGCTACATAATTATAATTTACAAAAGAAGTTGAAGTGAATACAACTAGAAAGAAAAAAAATGAATAAATGATAGATGTTGAATAACCTCCACTTCAAAAGCCTCCTCCTCCACCAAAAAAAAACCTTCTTACAATAGGTTAAGAGATTTTAAATACTCCAGAAGTATTACTACCTAGAAAAGGTCCTTATGGAATACCTTTTTATGGAAATTAATATGTATAATTTCCATCTGGTGCTGATTTAATTAATCCAAACAAAAAAAAGAGAAAAACGAATGGTGGAAAAATAGATTGAAAGTTTATATATTACCGCAAAATAATTCTTTATTATAAATTTATTTAAAAAAAATGTTACACTAAAAAAAGACTCTAAATTTCTGTGATCAGTTCCAACTGTTCTAAGACATAAATTTCAAAGTTATCCCAATAACTAAAGTAAATCAATCTAATTATGATCTCCTAGAAAGAAAAAAGATAATATCATCGGTATTTTGAAGATGAATCTAATTAATCAATTGCCGAGGATATCTTTCAATAGATGGGAAACACTATTGATGAGAAAGAACCATTAAAATTAAACATAAATTCAAATGGAAATGATAATTGGAAAACCTTTTATGCTTTTCGATTGAATTAACTAAAACCAATTAGATTAGATTTAAACCATAATGAATTAACATAATTAATTTCAGAAGAATGGAAGAAAATTAAAATTAAAAATATAAAAAAAAGTGATATCATTCCAATTTAAAAGATTAATCGTTAGAAAATAGCTAAAGGTAAAAATTAGTAACCAAAATTCAGTCATTAAAAAAAATAATTATTACAAAATGAGAATTAATCTTCAAACAATAAATTTTTAGAAAATATTAAAGAAACTTCATTTAAAATAATAATCAATGGAAAAAGTTATGAACTATTAGGAGATACTTTGGTAAAAGCTATTTAAAATAAAACTAATGAGATTTTCTTATAAGATAATGAAAATGAATCAATTTGTTTTGAATCATCAAGTGATTACTATAGTCACACTTTCATGACTGAAAAGGATGATGATAATTTAGTGATCGAAAATAAACTAAATTCATTTTTGTGATAATATAATTATTATTTTCTAACTAAAAATATTTATTTAAAATATTTTATATTAACTCTCATTGATTTTATTAAGATTGAGTTCTACTCTTGATGACAATTATTTGTAAAAACCAAAAAATATAATATAATTGAAAACTTTTTTAAAGTAGATATATTTTAAATTTGCAATAATGGAACTCAACAGAATTGATTTTTAAAAGAATTGCAAAACGTAGTAAAAATTTTAATATAAAAATAGAAGAGTGAAAAATGAATTTTTTTTTTAAGTTAAAAGTTGAGTATATAAATTTTGATATTATTATTGATACAAATAAAGGTTTCAAGGAGTTAAATTCAACAAAACTGCGGTTAGGATAAAGATAATCTGTATAATAATCAATGCAATGATATAAGGCTTAGATGTAGCTAATAGTGGATAATCATCATCATCAGTCATATATATTTAATTTATTTTAATTTATTATTAAGCCTCTTACCCGTTTTTATGGAAATATTATTAATTTTATTGGCATGAATAAGTTCATAACTATAGCTTTGATTGCTTTAGTAAGTGCTTAAGCATTTGATATTGATTTGACACTCCTCTTACAGGTATAAATATAGAATAAATGAATAAAGACAGGATCACAATCAAATGATGCTGTTTAGGCCGTCTATGATTTATTGAATGATTTGAAGACTAGCAACATTGAAGCTTAAGGTGTTGCAGATGAAAAGAACATTTCTGATGAAGAAATAGGATAATCTAGAATAGCTGCTCTATCTAAAGTTAATGAATTAAATCAAAAAGCTTGGGCAAGTGCTAAAGCTAGAAGAGAACAAATTGGTGTTGAATATAGAGTATTTGATTAAATAAATTAAAGGAAGCAACAGACTATATTGCATGGGCAACATAAAGATTAGCTGATATTGATAGAAGAGAGGTTGAACTTGAAGAATTGAGATGTTTTTCAAATGGTTTGTTCGTCAGAGCTATTAAACAACATAATGATGCTTTGGGAGTCATCAAAATATTAAAGAATGATTTGAGGTAAGATATAAAGATTAATTAATAGTGGTTATTTAACAGGAGCTCCATCATCAATGATCGAATTAAAGGTTGAGAATGTAGCTGATAAATTGAAATAATACAGTTAATTATTTAATCAAGATGCTATGTCTAAATTTGCTTAATTGGCTGCTGAATAAGCATCTGGAAATGCTGAATTACATGCATTAGGAGAATCTGATGCTTCAACAAGTGGAGATAGATAACCAGGAGTTAATGTTGGATAACTTGTTTATAATGCATTAAGTGATTTAGAAGATCAATTGAGAGCTGCTCTTGCTGCTTTAGAATAAAATGAAATTGCTGGATATTATCAATTAGCTGATTGGTTAGCTGATTCAGAAGCTGAAAAGGCTCATCTTTAAGATGAAATTCAAAGAAAAACTTAACTCTAAGATAAGTTGGTTGTGGTAAGATCCTTCTCTTATTTCTTTAGTAAGAATAAGCTGCTCTTGCTGTTTAAGCCAAAGCTAATTCAGTCTTAAAAGATTCATAAAATGCTATCAATGCTGCAACTGCCAGTCTTTAAGAACTAAGAGATCTTTATGAAACTGAACTCAATAGAAGAAATGGTATTTCTATTATTTCATTATTTTAGAGGAAAATGCTATTATCGATGAAGTCATTCACATCTTCAAATAGTAAGTCTTAGAAATGGCTAACTAAACCTCATATGGTAAAAAGTGATTATGACATATAAACATTATCAATTTAAACTGGAATAATTAGTCTCATTTATTTAATAATAAAATTTTAATAAAAATTGACAAAAATAAACCTTAAAAATGGTTCTAAATATTTATTTATATTTCACTTAGGTGAACCCCAAGAAACTGGTTGAGCTTATTCAGTGGTTGCTTCAACTTTCCATTCATTGCTGATACCACTTGATTTCCAATCATTATTATTTCCACTAGTTTTCCAATCATTATTAACCCCACTTGATTTCCAGTCATTATTAATCCCACTTGATTTCCAGTCATTATTATTTCCACCTGTTTTCCAATCATTATTAGTACCACTAGTATTATTATTATTTCCACTTGTTTTCCAATCATTATTAGTTCCATTTTATTTCCAATCATTATTATTTTAACTCTATTTCCAGTCATTATTATTTCCACCTGTTTTCCAATCATTATTATTACCATTCTACTTCCAATCTCCATTTCCTTATTTATTATTCCAATCTCCATTAGAATTACCTCCTCCATTCTTCTTGCCTTCTTAATTACTCTTCCAATTATCTCCTCTTTAAAAATTACCTTTTCTACCATCTTTATTATCCCAAGGTTTGTTTTTATCATATCCTCCATTTCTATCATATCCTCCTCTACCATTTTCTTTATTTCCTTAATCATTTTTTTAATTATCATTCCAACCCCCTTCAGTATTCCTCTTTTTAAATTTATTATTTTAGAAATTATTTGACTCAAATTTTTAGTTGTAATTATTATTTGATTTATCCTACTTTCCAGCATCCAATTCTAATCTAATTTCAGGTTCCTTATGTTTAACCTCTGCATTTATAAGAATAGCTTTTAAAATTTCTGTAATACTTTTATTTTCTGATTCTTTGGCAAACTCATCTAAAATATCCAGCAAGGTAATTTTTTATAAGCTTGTTAATAGCTTATCTGTTTAGATCTTCTAAGAGGCAAGTTTGTTCTTATCATCTTACTATGACTCATTATTATAGGTCTTCTTTCTTATTGGCAATTAGTTTTCCATTTAAAAATAAATACTTTAAATTAAGTTAAATTAAATATTCATCATTATTTTTCTTTAGATTTGGTCTTCTTCTTTTTTTCTTTTGATTTAGATTTTGACTTCGATTTCTTTTTTTTTTTTTCTTTAGTTTCTTTACCCTCAGCACCAGAATCCTTGGTTTTATTAATAGAAGTATCAGCAGTATTAGATTTTTTGACTTTTGATAATTATGCCAATTCTTCTTTACTGAATTACTTTTATCCATTAATCCATATACCCTTCTATAATCTTTAATCAGGCCAAATCATCAAACCTTTTCCATGCATAATTCCATTCTTCCATCCTCCTTTATATGTTCTTCCATCTGGCCAACTATATTCACCATATCCTTATCTAACATTATTAATATATTCTCCTTTATAGGATTTTCCTTCTCCCCAAATGAATTCACCCTAACCATGCATCTTACCATCTTTCCATTCTCCTTCATATCTTCTACCATCTGGCCAAGTTTAAGTACCTTTTCCACAAATCTATCCTTCTTTAAACACACCTTCAAAAATGCTTCCATCTACATATTCTAATCTACCTTTTCCATCTTTTTTACCAGCTTTGAATGTTCCTACATAAACATTACCATCTCCAGTTTATTCTCTACCCTCACCATTCTACACATATAACTATTATTATTTACTTTTTAATTTTTTAACCATTTTCCTTCATATGATGATCCATCTTAATAAACCAATACACCAACTCCTTCTCTTTCACCATGCACAAATTCTCCTGCATAATAATCTCCATTTTAAAATATATATCTTCCATATCCTTATAAAAAATCATTCAACCATTATCCTTCATAATAGGCTCCATTTGAAAATATTTGCTTTCCGAATCCATGTCGTTTTCCCATTTACCATGTACCTACATAAACATCTCCAGTATCCAAAATAATATATGGACCCAACATTTCGCAATTTTTAATATCTACATTGATGTTTATAGGTTCCAGTTATGCAGATAATGCAACAACATGCTCATTTTCTATTTTTAGAACATCGGTGTTTGATGGTACTGCCTTTTCTAAACTTGGTTTATGATTTAGAACCTCAACCTCATTTTCAGGTATAGCTTACTATTAAGATTTTATAAATTGTTATTATTAATTCGGAGCAAAGGACATAATCATTTATTCTCCTCTCGATGATTATAGAATGATTTGTCTCTCCTAAGGAGGAGCATTCTGTTTTACTTCTTCTGGATCTGGATTGTCATCTTCTAAAGATATTGTATCTTCATGATTTTATTGAAAGATTGGATTATCTAGTACCACCTAGGATTTAGGTTATTCTATTTGAAACGATTTTTATTCAGGCTATGGTACTTCTTTTTTTTCAACTTCAACTATTTCTTACTCTGATTACTGTTTTTTCTCAACTTCAACTATTTCTTGCTCTAATTATAATGGTTCTTCTTCTAATTCTTCACATTCAGATTCCTCTTCTTACTATGGAGTTGCTAAAGGAGTAATTTCTGCACTGTCAAATGCTTAATAGACTCCAAAATCTATATTTTCAAATAAATTAGGAAGAGAAGGCAGAGGCTATAGAAGAATGTCTTTCTCACCTTTAGACAAATAATCAATCAGTTGCTTCTATTTCTCTTGCTCTTAAATTGCATTATTTTTTTTCACTTTAGGAGATTAACCTTAGGTGAATGATCTATCTTGTTTTTTTTCAGCTTCACTAATACCCACACTTCTTTATTACATATTAATTGATGGTTATAAGTTGAGTGATCTCAACTCTAAATCTGCTTATAAATTGGATGCCTCATTTGAAGAATCATATAAGTTTATCTAATAATAACTATAATTTCACATTTCTACCATTTATTAATGTATTTTTTAGTTTTCTATTTGTTACTGCTTCTAGAGTTCTTCAGCCTCTAATTATTTTTTTAGCATGCTTTCCTGCATATATTTTATATTTACCTCTCCATTATTTTATCGTTTCCATTATAATTCTTCTTCAGGATTCATATAAACATGTCTATTTTCATACAGTCTTATCTAATCAATTGTATTGAATTCAAACTATTGTTAATTAGCAAGTTAAACACAAGTTCCCATTATTATATAAATAAATTATAAACAAATATAGTTTTAAACTTCAGTCATCCGAACTTTAATATTCTAGTTTTTTTATTCCTTTATCAATAAATTGAAGTGCCAACTAATCAATCTTATTGTTCAGGTTTGCTTTATCAGCATCATCTTTATTCAACAACTAATGTTTTGTAGCCAGTTTTTTTAATAAATCATTTTTTTAATCTTCTCTTTTCTTTTTTTCACTTTCCTTAAGATAATCAAATTTATCCAATTAGTCTATCATTTCTTATTACATTTGTTAAGTATCTGAATATTTAGTTGTTCTATGAACTAATTCCAAAACTTCTTATTCATATCTTATAAACTATAATAAATCTCGACTCTAAAAATTAATATTTAATTCTCCATTATCATAAAATTCATCAATATCCTTATTATCTTAATTTTATTCTAAAGATTTCAAAAACTAAAGATTAATTTTATCATCTTCATTATCTGTAGCACTCAGCTTTCTTGGATGAATAATTAATGGTAAACTAAGCCTATTATTTATAGGTGATTGAGAGCGTTTGAATTGAGATGCTTAATTATTATTAATATTTGTAAGTTTAGCAAGGTTTTCTTTTGCTTTTTAGAATTCTTCATTTATTTCTTCATCAAATGAAGATTCTATGGAACTATCATTAGAAAAAGAGACTTCTAATTTAAAATGAGATTCTTTTCTCTATTATTTTAACACAGGTATTACTATTTCTTTAGTTGATTGAGCTTGATTACTTCTAATTGAAGGTTATGGAGAATTTGTTCTCGATAAGGCATCATTTAATTTAACTTACAACTTATTAAATTGATATTAGATTTTATTTCTTGGACTGAAATCCTATTTAATCCTTAATTCAGATCCTTTTCTTTAGTTATCTCTTATTGGAATAGACAGACTGCCATTATTTTTTTATTAATTGTGTAAAATCAAAGATCTAGATATAGAGTGACGAGTAGGTTCAGAAAGTTTAATTGAGAGCATTATATTTATAAAATATAAGTCCAAAATTTAGATTTATATATCAAACTTAAGTACTTATAAATGTTTAAAATTTGGGATTAGATAGTCGACGAGCACCAATTTCCCAACAAGATTTCTTTTGTGATTACACCTATTCTTCTATTTTTTTCATCTGCATTTGAAGTTATAATAATTATGGATTTAGTTCTTGAGAGTGAACAGTTTATTTTCTACTAAAAGATTTTTTAAGTCTTTAGAAGGATAAAAAATTCCTTGGTAAAGTTTGCTTAGGAAAATCAGCTGTATTTCTATACATTAAAAACTCTTTCGACAGTTTAAAGTCGCAATATTATTTGACAGGAGTTGCTTTCAAAAATTATTTCTAAGTCTAATCTATACTCCTAACTCTATTCCTTAAGCATCTTATAGGAAATTCTGTAGTCGTAGTTGTTGCAGTTTGTTTAGTTAATTTAGAATAACTGGTTTTTGTATTGTTTACTTTTTGCTTTTCATCTTTGCTAGAATAGATTGTTGAACTTCGATTTTATTGATTTGATTTATAAAGGATTTGTTGGGGAGATAAATTCATTTCTTGCCAAGGACTTACATCTTCGGCATCAAATTCATCTTATATAAAACATTGTTGCATATAATAATAAATATTAAATTTCAACTAAGTGTAGAAACTAACTGTTGATAGACAATACAAGATATTTTATTTGTCTCTTCCATAGCTCCTTTTCCAATATCACCACATATCAAAGTCTTACAAATTGAATCGATTATAAAGGCACCCATTTTTTATAATTTTTTAATTTGTTTTCCTGTTATTGGATTATCATACATCATTGTATTCATTGCAGGAGCTAAAATCATTAGCTTTTTATAATCCCAAGCTCTAGCTACATTTGTTAATAGATTATCACATAACCCATTTACAATCTTTGCCATTGTATTAGCTGAAAGAGGAGCAATCAAAAAACAATCTGCCCATTTTCTCAATTCTATATGTAACACTGGATCATTTCTTTATTTCCAAGTTTTAAATTCATCTTCATCCGTAAAGTGTTCAACATCTGTTATTTATGGATTCATGAATTTCTATGCATTATGTGTAGTAATTATTCTTATTGTAGTTTAACAATTATTATCTTTGAATTATTTCTGAATATCTTTTATTAATTATTCAGCCTTAATAGATGCTACTGAACCTGTAAAACCAATTAGTATTTTAAATTCTCTTTTACTTTTATCTTGTTACATAATATATATTATTTATTCAAATATATCAGAATATCTAGCAACCTGCGTTAAATTCATGTTCATTCGCTTCATTTTCAACTATTACAATATCCTCTACATATTTTTTAGGTAATTCAACTAATATATATAATTATTGTACAGTTATAACTTTGTTTGTTGAAAATTTCGATAGGTTCCTACTTGTATTGTTATTCAGGTTACTTATAATTAGACTATTGATATTATTATTGTGTATAAACTGGAGTTGTAGGTCTATATATTTATTCCTTCTAAACTGATTCTGCATATACAGAAGGAGGTTTTTATATTTTATTTATTATTGGATCTATAGGATTTTAGGTCTTGATTTGAATTTCCGAATTTCTGATTGGTTCATTATTTACTTTAGGTCCTCCTATACTTAAGGATTCAATAATTGGTGGATTTACTGTAGTTCTATTTATTTAAGTATCCAAAGTAATTCTATCAGGATTATAAGGAGTATATTAAGTATGACTATATTAATATAATACAATTACACAATTGATGAATTTGGTTGAACTTAAGGAATAGATTTGTAGGATGATTGATAATATTCTTTTGGTTTTTCATAAAAATTATATTCCTATTTGATTGGTTCAAATTTATATTGGTCAAACTTTTCATATGTTTTAGGTTATTCATAAGTAGTCTTATATTTATCGAATGAATTCAATTCATATTTTGTAAAAGTATTATCTTATTTTGGTGGTTCATACAAAGTTTTATTCTAATTGTTAAGTGAATTTCCAATTGGTTCTTAAACTTGAGTCATAAAAATATTAAATACATGTTGTATTGTATGCTATGATGATAAATAGTTCAAGTACCTGACTATATGTAGGATCCTGTACGACCAGTGTCTGGTTTTTTGTATTCAAAACTCTAGTAATTAAATTAAGAAGTTGGCTAAGCACTTACTTCTTAAGGTTTATAAGTTTGAACAGTCCTAAAATTGAAGCTGTCCGTTTCTGGTTTTCGATACTCGAAATTCTCTTAAGTAAAATGACGTGAATTAGGTGCTTGCCAAATTTATTTATAGTTTACAATTCATTTCTTAAGAACCCTAAACTCCTAAAAAACCTTAATTTTAGTATTATTTGTAATCTGTTTGTTATGGATCTGTGCTTGTATTTCTTATTGATCTTGTTAATCGTTTTGTCGGTTCTTATTCTGTACCTGTACCAAAGATTTCTCTTGCAGTTCCCAATTTCGAACTTGTAGCTAAGGGACTCTGACTTCTTCGATCTATCATATTAATATTAATTAAAATATTATAATAATGTTGAGATTAGTGTCTTTCTATAGATTTACAAATATTTCAATGGCAAAAGGAGCACTTTTAAAAACTGTTTCTAAAGAATACAAATACGAATATCATCAATATGAGTAAGAACCTACTTTAATGAAACAAATCAAACATTTAGGATTTCAATTGATAGATGATCCAAAAACTAATAAAGTCACACTTAAAAAAGAATTCTCATCTGCAAAGATATCTATTGAATTTAGAGGAACACCTCCTCCTGTAGAGGGTAAAATGTAACAATTTTGAAAATCACTTAAAATTAGAAAAATTCCAAAAGAAGACCAATCAATTACATAAAATCCTAAATATTAAGACAAAATACAAACAAAGATTTAGGAGAGAAAGGAAGAGTTTGATTTAGGAACATTTTCTGTAGATTATACAGTTCTAATTGAAACTGAAAAAGGAGAAGCTATAGCATTTGAATGCAATACAAGTATTACTTGAAAGGAATGAACTACAGGTAACCAGACTACTTTCATAAATTACGTACAACCAGTCTATGATATCCAAGAGTACAAAACAAGATCCAAATATCATAAATTCATTACAGATTATTCAGGGCCAGAAATTAATAAATTAGATGAAGTTAAAATAATCATTAATTTTTTTAGTAATTAAAGCAATCTTTTTATAATTACTTGGAAAGCTTTGGTATTAATTAATCATTTAATGCATTAATTGAGGCTTATTCTCTAGACAAAGAGTAAAGATCATATATGGAATTTTTAAAAACCATGGAAAAGTTTTTATCAATTTGATTAATTTTTATGATATTTAATTATTTATTTTTAGTAATCATTCTTAATATAATATTTATTAATAATAATAAAATAATACGCATGTTATTACCATATGAACACACAGGAAATAAAAAATCAAACATATTACTTATTTTTTTACATGGCTTTCCAGATACTTTACGATTATGGGATTGTATAAAATAACAATTAATTTAGAAACTATTGCAGGAATTTAGAAAACTGATGTATAAACTCTAAATATTTCATATCCAAATTATGATTAATCCTAAAATCTTAAATTTGGTTTAGACTTTCCAGAAGTGGTTAAGAGGATTAGATCTACTATAGAACATGTAGATAATGGATAGAATCTAAAAAAAATATTAATCACACATGATTGGGGAGCCTTCTATGGTTATCTTTATGATTAAAAATATCCATAAACAGTAGATGATATGATTGCATTGGATGTAGGAGCATAAGTTGATTTAAGTCTTAAATCAGGTTTGCTTATTGAATCTTATTAAATTACATTTGCAGTAGCTTTCTTATTAACTTTGATTCCAATTGTTGGTGAATTTTTTGGAACCTTATTAGCTAAATTATATATGAAATTCATTTTAAGAATTCCTATTCCAGAAAACTATACTGCTAAAATCAATTATCCATATTTTTATTTCTAAAAGAATTTGCTATTTGATTCAATTTTAAACAAGTCTAAAAAATTCTTATACAGATATAAGCCTTCTGTTCCTATTGTCTTTATATATGGTGAAAAAAAGCCTTTCCATTTTCATAGTGCAAGATGGTAATTGACATTATCTTAAAATGCAGATTCAGAATTTATAGGAGCTAAAACAGGACATTGGATATAAAGAGAACAATCTGATCTTATAATCAATAAAATAATTGGAAGAATTGCTAGATTAAAAAAATGAGTTTTAGAATTTTAAAACCAAATAATAATTTTAAAATCTTTTTTTTTTTATTAATCAATTAGATATTTTTTATTGTTTTTAATTGATAGATTTATAATGAGAAAATTGATCTTCAAGAATTTACAATTCTTAATCCCATAATTTATGGTTAAGGCTTAGGTTCATAAAAGTCTGAACTAATCTTTGCTAATTCTTTTATATCTTTTTTAAAATCTCTTTTTTATTCCATCATTTCAGCTTCCTACATACAAATATCAGTTATAATATTTTTGATAACAGGAGCTAGATATGGCAAAACAACTTTTTTAGTTACAGCTGGTCTTCTTATTTATTTTGCTTTTTCTAAGAATCCACGTTTATCCTAAGCTTCTTTCATTTTCATTTTTACAACAGAATTTCCCCATTTTTAATTAAAAAAATTCATTTATTATTAATGGAGTCTATTTCTTAATTAATCAGCCTATTTATGATAATTTTTATAGTATATATCATAAGAGACACTTGGTTTTTGATCACATTATTCTAATCTTTAAGAAAGTTTATCTTTACTATAACTGTCTCTCAAATTTTCATCAAATTCTGTTCTAATTCTTTTATCCTCAAATTGACTAATTTCTTAAAATAATTAAAGTTATGGATATTCTTTTAAATCAACATTTAAAAATTTTTCTTTTAATAAAGAAGATAAACTTTCAATCTATTTACTTAATTATGGTTCATATTTTTCTAAATTTAAATATGTTTTAGCTTTTTATAAAAGAGGAACTTAATATCTATATTAAATTTAAGGAGGTTTTTCTTCAAACTTTAAATAATCAGGGTATTGTGACTTCCATTTTTTGAGTTTAAGTTTTGTTTTAATTAAAGTTTATTAACTTTCAAATAATGCTTATCTTTCTGGAGTTGGCTGATCTTTATTCATATCTTTCAGTAAATCTGTGACTGTAAAAAATGTATCTAAATTATGAAAATCTTTCATTCCTTCTTCAAATCTTTCTTCTTTATTTAATGATTAGATTCCAAGTTTTTAAGTTATCTTTTTAAATCTTTATGAAGTAGCTCTTAGTTTTTCTTTCTTAAATTCCATATAAAAAAGTAATAAAAAATTATGATAATAAAAAATTTAATATTTAATATTTCATTCAACATTTCTATGTTCATTGGATGTTTAAATATTTTCATAAGATTGAATGATTTATTAAATTTTCTATTTATTGGCACTAATATTTTATTTTCTTTATGTTTTTTATTGTTATGAAGAATCCTTCATTCCAGGGAGAAAATCTAAATAAGGAGATTAAAATCTAGCACTATCAAAATTTAAAGTTGGAATATCATCTTTTTTATTAGCTCTTACTTTCATAGATTATCCTCTAGGTTTTCCATTTTTTTTATTTTTTCTATCTGGAGATTATTTACCACTTCTAGTATTTACTTTAATTCTTTTAGATTCCTTATATGATTTTTCTTCTTCTTCTTTAGATGTTTTCTAACTATTATTTCTTCTTGCAGCAGTTCCAATTTTACTTCCAGTTCCAAATTTACTTCCTGGACCACTTCCTAAAGATTAATTAATAGGAGATCTATTATTAATATTACTTATAGGTTATAATGGCATAATTTTTGGTGTTATTCCTCTATCAAATTCTGCTTCTTAAAATTCATTATTAAAGGAAGATTTAAAATTACATGCTTCTTCTTCATCAGGCTCTTCCCATTAATGAGGAATTTCATTTCTTTAAGAAAGATCAGATCCTATTGGACTAATATTCTTTAAAAAATCAATCGGATTAAATTGAGGAGGAGAACTACTTAAATTCTCTTTAAATTCAAATAAATCACAATTAATATTTTCTTTTTGTGCTTCATCAAAATCTTAATTCTATATAAATATCTCTTATTCTTATTCTTAATTTTCTATTTCTTAATTTTATTTATTTTTTTAACTTGAATAAAATTAAGGTTTAGGTAAATTTGGTTTAGGAGATCTATTTGTTACTTTAGAATGATACAAAGCTTCTAATTTTACTCTTTAAACTTTCTTCTTTTTAAATTATAAATCTTCTTGTAATGTATCCATTTCTGTTTATTCATTTAAATTTTACTTATTGTTATTTTATTCTGTATCCAATGCTTAATCAGAATCTAAAATAGGTAATTCTTTCACATTTTCTGTTATATCTAATTTAGTATCTTCAATAGTTCCTAAATTTGCTGATGTAATTCTTAAAATTTAATGTTTATTCTGAATTAAATCATGTGTTGAATTATGATTTAAAATATTCAAATTTGATTAATCTTTACTCATTCCACTAATATTTACATGAGTATCATTCATTATATATTTCTATGGACTTTTATTTATTAACATTAAAGGTTTATAAAATTCAGCTAATATTTACATTTCTTAGTAAACTTAATCAGGTCCTTGTAAAATCCACTTAGAAGTCAATCTTTTTGAATAAATCAAACAAAATGATACTCTAATTAATTATTCTAATAGTAGACCATATAACCAACTAAATGTAAATTCCCAATATATATCATATATTTAAAAAGATAATAAAAAACTTAGACCAAAAAAAGTCAAGCACCACTTTGGCTAAATATTTTGTTAAAGTAAATTATTATATGATATTAAATTTGGATAATAATTTTAAGTAGTTTTTATTATGTTACCAATAAATTCTTATTATTAATCTTCTTTTTATTTATCAATCTCATCACTTACTTCTTAATTATTTTATTTATTTATTTTAAAGAGTTCTCTTAATTTCTCAAGCTTTAAACATGTTTCATGCATATGTTGATCAAGATTTTATTTTGGTCTATATAATATACTTATCATTAAATTTAAACTGCTGAAAATCACTAATCCAATTATAAGTAATCCCATATTTTATATTTTGAATGAAATATATGCTGATAATTAATAAAATATAAGTGGTAATAGGAATAAATTCCAATGTAATTACTAGTTTCTACAGGTAAATAATTGCCATTCTTTTTTAAAAAATGTCATAAAATGAAATAGATGTGTATAATTTAAAAGAGTATATAAGAGAAAAAACTTTTAAAGAAACCAATATTATTAAACGATGTGTTCATTTCTAGGTGTAGATATTGATTATTATTCATTATCTTATTCATTAAATTAAGGTAAATCATTAATCTTCTGATCTTTTAACACTTATTCCCAAAATTATTTTTTGTCTATTCAATAACTATATATTTTACTTTAACTATAATTGATTTGTGCTTATTTAATAGGCATTTTTTTTTTAATTATCATATAACATATGAAAATTAGAACATTTTCTATCATCATAAAAATAGCTGGATTCGAATACATTCCTCTTCTTTTTATTCAAATTTAAATTGTTTAATAAAGAAAAATAAAATAAATATGTAAATTTTAACGATAACAAATAAAGAAGCTAGAATATAATCAATATTCAATAATACAGAACTTCAAATCATCATATACATATTATGTTATTGCATATAATTTTCGCGGTTTCTTAATTTATAAAAAAAAGAATTTCTTGAAATAGAACTAATTTTTAAAATGGTTTTCTTGTTTTTTTACATTATTTTATAAAATCTATCCTACCATCTATTTGATGGCCTAACAAAATATTTAAATTTATTTTACAATAATTATTAAATTTTGATAATTATAGAAAAATATATTGTTATTTATAAAATAGATTATGAATAAACAAGGATGGATTTTATAAATTTAATATGAATAAATACAATTAATAGCAAGTATCAATTTTTTCTTAAAGATTTACTAAATACATTTTCATTTATCTCATCATCATCTAAATATTCTCTAATTTTTACAGCCATAATTTTCACATAATAATTATAGGAATATTTTGATAATCTTTATAATTGTCGATTATATTTAGGTCTTTAATTAAGTTCTTTAATCACTTACTTAAAGTTGTTATGTTTCATATATATTTCATATTCTTATATGCAATCAATGTCTAAATAGTGAAATTGTAATTAATCAATAAAATTGTCTAACATGTTCCATTTAGTTGAACTTTTTGATTCAACAATATATTTGGAAGAGACATTATGATTTGAAATAGTTAACTGATTTTAATTTCCTTTAGTATTTGATTTTTCTTTGAAAGTTTAAACAATTGATGGTCTACAAAACCCAAAATGATTTTGATTAATAGATAATCTTGAAGTTTTTTCTATCATCTAAGAATTTTTAGGCACCTACAATATGTTTTTCATACTTTATTAAATTTCATTAACATGATAGAATTATTCTTCCTCAATAGAGTTAGTTTGAGTTTCACTTTATACATTATCTTCAATTTAATCTATTCCATTAATTTCCTGATATTTCTTAATTTTATCAAAAATTTCTTTTTACAAAAGTAATGATTTTTTTTTTGTTAATATACTTCTTTTAAATGGAATTCTATATTATTCTTAAGGATACAATTCTTCTTTTTTTATTCTAGATTCCATATCTGGTTGATATGATAACATAGGACATTGATAAAAGATATGAGATATTTTTTTACAAAATTTACAACTAATCATAAGATCACTATAATCTTTATATAAAAGTATTCTATCTTTAATTTAATGAAATTTTTCTTAATCTTTTTTTGCATCCTATAATATCTTAAGGAATTTTTGTCTATTAATTTTTGCAATGATAGAAAAACCATTACTAATAGCTGAAGTTGAAGGATTGAAACCAGTAAAAAATTAAAATTCACCAAATATTTCTCCTTATTTCAATTGTTGAATATTTTGTTAACTTTATTGTTCTATTATATCTACAGAACCTTAATAAACATAACATCTAATGTAAAAATAAATAAAATTTATACAATTCAATATTTTGATTAGTATCTTAATGATATATATATTCACCTGGTGTATAACTAATTAATTCAATTTTGTCAATTAATTCTGATTTAGTCCATTTAGTAAATTATTCGAATATTTTAATTTTTTATAATATTCTACTATTAATATTTTAAGAGATTTCTTATTCTATTCCTTTTGGAAACTATTTTAATATTTTAATAGCATCCTTTTAAATTTCATTGTATTCATTCTTGATTTAATATTTTAAGTAATTTCTAAGTTTATCTTATATATGATTAGATATATCATTCTTCTTCATATATTAATTGAGAATGATAGTACTCTTTCTATGTATAAAACAATTCATATACTTATAATTTACTTTCTTATCATTAATATTTTTGAGTATTATTCCAATTGAATTCATAGAATATGCAAAAACACAACTTGATAGAAACATAGCTATATCACAAAAAATCATTTCAGTTTAATTCTTTGGTGTAATATCTCCATAACCAACAGTTACCATAGTCATAGTTGCCCAATAGAATGAAGTACTATATTTAATCCAAATATCTTGATTAGATAATTCATAATAAGTTATCCAAGATCCAGTATCTTCTTAAAGCAATCCACAATATAACCAGCAACATGCTATAAAATGAGCGAAATAATATATTGAAATAATCAAAGTGATTAAATCAAGTAAATCACTAGGAATTGATAATTAATATAATGTATCAATTAAATTATCATATTATTAGAGTATTCTTCCTATAATAACAGCAAGTAAAATTAGAAGTAAAAATGCTCCTCCTTATTATAAGAAATTCTAATTCAAAGATATATAAATGCATATTATGATTTCTAAAGAATAGAGAAAACAAGATTGTTTAACGAAATTTTTAAATATTATTGAACGATCTTCTATTATTAGACCTTTAATAATAATTGCTCTATTTAGAGTGAAAATGAGTTCAAAAACAAGAAAGGCAACTGTAAATAGAATAATTTAAGCTTAATTTTCATCTAGATTAGTAAATACAGCCATAATTGAAATTATCCATAAAGCCATCAATTGAACAATTATACTTAACATATCGAAGATTTATGAAATAGGACTTGATGGTGAAATAAGAGGGATTTATTTACTTTATTGATTTCTTTCTATAAAAATGTATAACGATTTTACTTTTTGAATCATTCTAAACAAAAGTATTTGTATACTTTTCTTGCTTTGAAAACTATTCCTATAGTCTCTTAGGTAATATATAGGCATTTATAAAGAGATTGGACTTAAATCTTTGTACAATTGCCATTATTTTATTTATTTTTAAAAATTTAGCCATTTATGAGGTTTATGCTTTTGGTCTCAAAGTTTATTGAAATTATAAAATATTTTGTTTATCTAAAGTATTGAAAGAATTTTAATATGTAATTTTCTTTCTTTACCAATTGGAAGGAGAGTTTTCTGGGAAAGGAGATAATAATCCTTCTGAATATAAGGAAATATGAGATTCAGGAGTTTCTTTATAACATATTTTTGGATTTGCAGTTTATTATTTAGGTCCAAAAGATTAGTTAAAGTTATGAATAGGATTTTCTTAAAGCATTTAATTTGATTTCTTAATAAATTATATATTATACAATATCATTAATAATATTTAGAAGATTAATTTAAATTAAGACATTGATTATTCATAGAATAAATTAGAATGTTTCAATTAAATATGTATGAAAATCCTCAAAATATTATTAAAAAAATGTCATATTAACAATAATAGATAAGAAATTCAATTTTGGATAAAAATTATTAGGAACATTGTTTGAAGAAGTAGAAATAACAAAAAAGGATAATTTCTATAATATAGAAGCTAGAGATGAAAAAAAGGTCATAAGAGAATTTATGGAGCTTTTGAAGCAAGATTTAAGAATATTGTTGGATTAAAATAAGGGATGGGCAACTTAAAATTTATATCCAAAAGAACTAATAGAGTCATATAGAATCATTTGAATTACCAAAATATAATAATTAGACAATTAAGGATTTATATGAATGAAGATCATATTGCAATTTAAAAAGAATATGATATATTTGGTTAAAATGAGATGAACTTTTTGCTGTAATAATTAGGCTCTCTATTTGAGTATATTAAATGAACTTTAAGTTAATAAGGCTTTTAGGGTCAGTACCAGAAAGAATTATTTTACAGAGATAATAAGTCATTTGGTTATTAAGTACATAGGTAATTAAGGATCAAAAAGAAAAATAACAATAATGAACATTAAAAATTAGAAATATTTCAAATTACAATATTAAATACTTAAATTAAACAAATAATCAATATATTGGATTAGGATACAACTTAAATGTAAATACGCTAAGTGTTTATATTCATATTATTTATTATATTCTTTAAATAATTTTTAATACTGAAAAGGAATTTTTAATTTATTATTGTTGTTGTCAAAACTCAAAGTAATTCTTTGTTATTCCCCAAAGTTAACACATTTTAGATTCTAAGAAATAATATGAATGAAAAATCTTCATTATGTGATAGTACATATGGCAATCCTTCGAATTCTCATATTTCAGCATTTTGGATATCTATAAAGTAGAATACTGCAATAATAGTTGATGAGGATGAAGATAAGAAAAAGAAAGAGAATAGAATAAAATAAAAAGGAATAGTTATTCTATGTCTTATGATAAGAATATAATTAAATAATTATAAAAAAGAATACAATACTATAGAAGATGATAGAAAATCTAATCCTAATGTATTTTTTAGTTAGAGAGTGATGGGAGATGGATACTTGAATGGAATTCCTAAACCTTATAATATTGATGAAAAAATAAAGATTAAGAAAATTAATGAAAGAAAAAATGAGAAACTAAATATAGCAGCAAATAATAGAAACCTTTTGTTGATTGATAAAAAAGTGTATTTATATTGATTATAAGACTTTAGATTAAATTTGGTGGTTTCATGCAAGCTTAAGAATTTAATTAATCTTAGGGTTAATTTAATCCAGTTGCTTTAGGTTTACCATTGTCATAGAAATCAAATTGTTATAATACAAATCAATAAGAAAGATTGTTATAAATAGAGAATAACGATAGATTTCAGACATAGGGTTATGAGTAAATAGGATAAAAGAATTATAAAATTTTCTGAAGATTAGGAAGATATTCTACCTAGTAGAATTTAAGATCAAAATATATTTGAATTGATATTTGGAGATGATGATGAAGAGGAAGATTAATAGTGATTATTGATATAATCAATATTAATAATTAAAATAATATCATAATTCTCCGAAAATTCTTGTGACTATTTTTTATTGAGGACCACACTTTAAAAATGATTTTTAAGTTTGTTTTTATTTATTGAAACTGATTTAACTAGACATTTTTTAAGGACTAGATTCATTTGATTTATTTATGTTATTACATGGGAATCTTTCTGCTCTACTTGCATTAGGTGTATATAATTAATCTCTAATAAAATTTGCTCTAATTTTGTTATGATTATCAGGAGATTCAACCTCAGTATATAATTACAATTTAGGAAGTTCTATTTAACTATTTGTTCTTTTAATTTTGATATTAGTATTAGATCCTTTTTTAAAGGGGTCAATGCATATGATTTAAAGAGATTTTTGTTATTATTTCTAAGGAGAATATGTAGGATTTAATGAATTCGGAAAGAAAAACTATGCTGTTTTATCAAAATCTGTTGTTGAGCAAGTATTCATAAATAATTATTTATTTGTTATTTATTATATAAAAGTAATATAATAGATATAGGATGAATAATGGAAATGGTGAATTAGATATATGTAATTAATATAATATTTACAAATTTCATGAATATTTAGGGAATCGATTATCATAAATGAAACTATCAAACATTTCAAAGCCATATTATCTTTGATCTTCAGGAACCATCTAGAGAAATAAATAAAGAATAAAGTACATGTCTAGCTCCTCTAACGACAACAAATTTTAAATAATTATATTAAGTTAATCCATCCAGCTAAATCTAAATCTGAATTACCCCATGGAGTCCAAGATTCTAATTCTTATATTCCAAGTCATATTAATTTATTATTCACACGATAGCATCTTAATCACCTGAATATATTAACATTCTAATTCCTGATTAACTTAAAAATGGAAGTATTTCATAACTTCCATTCTTACTCATTTACATTAATCCTGTATCAATAGGAATATATCCTGAATAAATGCTAAATTTATATTCACCCCAACCTGGCAATATTACTTTATCATCATCAGGGCTAACACCATAAATTGATCCTATTATAAATCCTGTTATTAATAATGACATCATTATTATTATTTTTTTTTTTTATTTAATTACTTACCATACATATATTTCATTCATTACAATTCTCATTCACTCATTTATAAACTTATTACAAAACACTTTCTTATTACTTTCACCTTTCTAATCCTATTACACTTAACTTATTCTTCATTATTATAAGTCTCTTTATTATTTTATATATATATATATAGAATTTTATAAATTTCGATTTGCCTTCAATTTTTCATCTCCCAAAAACATTACTAAAATCACAACTTATTTGAATAATTAATTTAAACTTAATTCAATTAATTATTTATTGCTAATGAAAAGAAAAACATACAAAAAAGAATATGAAGTTGAATCTATAGTAGATAGGATATTTGATGAATCAACTAAAGCCAATCTCTATTAAATTAAATGGAAAGGCTATCCACATTCATAAAATACTTGGGAACCAATTGAACACTTATAAAATCCACATGTCAAGAAAATGGTTAAAGAATTTGATTAAGCATAAGAGGCTAAATAATCTAAAAAAAACATTAATTTAGAACTTCTTAAGTAATGCTTATTAAAGAAACTTACACAATTTTTAATCAAAAATGCGCCTTAAGAAAATGATATACAGGAAATTATTTTAAGTGATTTTAGTGTATAATCTAACTAAAGCAATTACAACTTTAAAATGTCCAACTTAAAAGAGGATTCTAAAAATACCAATAAGAAACATAACTAGTAATACTAAAATGCTCTAAATTGTCTAAATTCCAACTCTTGATTAATTTTTAACTTAATCAATAATTCATATGCTTTTTATTACAATATAAAATAATATTTATATCCATCTCTTTCTTTCTTTCATCTTTCATTCATTCACATACTTTTTATATCTATATTAAAGGATACTACTCTACTATTCTTATTTAAAATTATCTTAAATTATAAAAATTTACTACGACTCTTTTACAATCATAATATTCACTTTTTTATATTAGATAATCTATACTCAATCTATTAAGTGATTAGAAATCAGAATATTAAGAATTAATAAAATTTTACATAAAGAAATAAAATATTTTATAATTTATGTAAGGAAAATCACAAAGAGAAGTTGCTAGTTCATTGGATCTTAATTCATCCAATATTACTTAATCTCCAAATTAAGTTGTATTTAATGGAATAAATTTAAAACCAAACTCTCCAAGAACTCTCTAAGCATGTTAGAAGTTAGGTATAGATCTAAACATTTTCCAAATAAAGTAAACCATTTTTTCATAGTATTTTAGAGATCTTAACTATTTTCGTACTACTGAAGGCAATAATGATGAAATTACTCAATTGCGATATGAACATTATGTTAATAAAACTAATTGTAAAATACAACAATATTTTAGAATTATTGAATGAAATATTTTAGAAAAGAAAAGAAATCATCCGAAAAAATAGATAACGTTAATTATAATTTGCTTCAATTGACTCTCTTGAAAGATCAGTTTCTCATAAATAAGGTTCTAATATAGATTAGTCTGAGTATGTTTTTATAGTTTTATTTATTAATCTAGATTGAAAAAATAAATGGATTATGCTTATAATAAGACTTTATAGTATTTATAATAATAGGATTTGCTTGAAGGTTCAGTTCCTTAAACTTTAGGTGAATGTTAAGATGTTCCTGAATTAGAAGGGGGACTTAATAAAGAATTATCAAGATATAATAAACATAAAATTTAGAAAATAGTACATTAAATTTATTTAAATTAGAGAGAAGCTTAAATTAAATTAGAAGAAGATAAAAGAAGAGTTGAATTGTTAGAAAAATTATAGGAAAGAGATTAAAGAATAGTTAAAACTATGATGTAAAAATAAAAGGAAATGAAAGAGAAATATTGTTCATCTAAGAAAGTTGAAAATAAAAGAATAGATACTTAGGAAATGGAATGCAAGTCTCAACCTAGAGATAATGAACCACAAAAAAATTTATAATAATAATTATCGTAAGAATAAATTAATAATAAGAACTAATGAATATAGAAGTAAAATGATAATTAAAAATGATGATTAGAAAGAAAAGAAAAAAAGAGAATAAGCCTTAATGAGAAAAGAAGAATTCGAAAAATAAATTGATATTGATTGTTAAATGCAAATGGCTAAAATATAATAAAAATTATATAATAGTGAGAAATTGCAAAAAGAATTAATTTAAAACAAAATAGAAAAAATAAAAGAATAAAATATTAAAGAACAATAAATTATGAAACAACAAAAGTAACTTAAAGACAAGATATCACAAGAGCACATTAATTAACTTTTAGAAAAGATGGTATAAAAAGAAAAAGATTTTTAAATTAATTAAAAGTCGATTTAGAATGTAGATTAAGAAAAAAAATTGGAAATTAAATAAAAATAAAGAAAAATTAAATCTAATTAAGGAGATATTTTTAAAGATAGAGAGTAAATATTAATATTATTTTTCTAGTGAGAAATTAAAGTAAATAAATGAAAAATTTTTGAAAATAGAATAATTTAATAAAGTTAAAAAAGTAATCAAATTAATCAATTTAGGAAGAATATGATAATAAAATTTTATTGAAATAAGAAATGAGAAAATTAAAAGAATAAGACAAATAAGATATATTAGATAGATAGAAACGATAAAATGAATATAGAATGTTAGAAATTACAGAGAAATATAGATAAGTTGATGAAAAAAATTAATTAAAGTAATATTAAAATGTAAATAAATTTTTAAATTAATATAGAATCTGTTATAATAAACATCTATGCAAATAAGTAGATAAGAAATATTAGAAAGAAATAGAATATATTCACATTTGTAATAATTAAGTGACAATCTATTCAATTAAAAAATAAGAAAGCGAAAGTAATTAATAAAATAAAGATTAGTATGAGTTAATTAGAAAAAAATGCGATAACAATTAAACCTAAAGCTAACAATTAAAAAGAAGACACAGAATTTGAAGATCATACTAGATTATTAATAACGATGCTCCAAACATCTGATGCTGAAGAAACATAAAAAAATAAATTAAGTAGAAGACATAATTGATACGTTTTCATTTTTCTTTTATTTTATATTTATTATCTTAAAAATTAAATTATTGATGTCTTTTTGAATAGCGTCTTAATAATTTTTGGATTCATGAATAGTTTCTGAAATATCAATTTATTCAATTTGTTTTTATTATTAATCAAATTTTTATCAGGGTCAGTTTTTTTTTTCAAACTAATATATCTGATTTTTCACATTATGTAAAATCTTATCAAAATTTTGCTATTTAAATTTAAGTAGTTTCAAGTTAATTATAATATTGCTTATAGTTAAAAAGAAAGATAGAATTAAATCCTATAAAATCATTGAATTTATTTAAGATCCTAATGAAAAAATACCAAAATTATTGGATTTTATTGATAACGAAAATCTTAATTTAACGAAAAAATATCACACTCATTAGAGATTAAACGAGTTACATTTTATTTATTTAGATTTAATTATATTTTTAATATTAAAAAAGAAATATCATTTAAATATTGAGCAATTGTATATGAATATCATAAGTCTTTTTTGAAAATTAAGTATAGAGAAACATCTAAAATGGCATTGATTAGATAGTTTGAATTAAAATTTGTACATGATATATTTTTAATAAACTGTGAAATAGTTCTCTAGATAATATATAAAGATAAAAATTTGTAATAATATTAAATAATTGTTCAATACATCATGAACTTCTCAAAAGGAAGTTTTGTATAAAATTCATCTAAATTTATTATAATATTTTAAAACTTATTTAAATAATTAAAGTTAATGACATTTTATTTAAATAAATATAAACAAAAAAATTTTTTAATTAAATTGAATATTTGTACACCTTAAGTACCTTAAAAATAATCAGATAATAGAGCTAAATATTAATGAACATAGAGAATAATAGTAATTATATAAAGCTATAAAAGGCTCTCATAAATTTATAATTACATAAAGATCAATAAAATAATTTAGAATCTTGTCAATAAACCAAAAATTAAATTATAAAGGTTTTATTTTATAAGTATCATATAGTAAAATCCCTTTGAGAATTAGACTAGATCTTAGTTCTTAAAAGTAAAATAAAGAACTGATATTTATGAAAATTCATTCATTTTAAAAGTTCTCATATATCATAATATCAAAATTCCTATTCAACATGCTCATTTATTCTAATCGCTTAAATATATTTATAAAAAAGAGAAGATCTTAATATAAATTATATATTATATAATATATTTAATAGAAAATGATGAGAAATACAGCTTAACCAATTATGATTGAAAACAATCAATATAAAATCACAGAAACACTTGGTTAAGGTTCTTATGGATATGTTGTCAAAGGATAAAATCTATAAACACACTAAATAGTTGCGATTAAGATATAAGAAAGTATAAATGAAGCTGAATTAATGATGTTACTAAAAATGAAAGGTAAAAAATATAAAAATTTAATAAAAACCCTTCATGTAGAAAAAATAGGTAAATATTATTATATGGTTATGGAATACTGTAAAGAGAGTTTGTATGATAGAATACAACGTTAAGGTACAATAAAGCATGATGACATAAGATTTATAATGAAAGAAATAGCTAATGGATTAAGAGAAATTCATGAAATGGGTTATGCTCATAGAAACATAACACCTGAAAATGTATTAGTATTCTAAGTAAAAGATGATTTAGGTAATACATAAGATTTATATAAAATTTGTGATTTTGGAACTATAAAAGAGATTGATGTGTTAAAAACTTAAAAAGTTGGGACTGCTTATTATTTTGCTCCAGAATAAATAAATAAAACATCAGAATAATATACATAAGCAGTTGATATTTGGGCTTTTGGAGCATTGATTTATGAATTATTAACTGGAGTACCAATGTTTAATGGTATTTTATTATTTTATTTAGGATCTACTGAATATGAAGTTTGTAATAAAATTTCAAGTATAACTTAATATGATATTGATACAATCATTTAGAATAATTTAAAAATAGAACGGAAATATTAAACCCTTCTCTTAAATATGATGCAAATTGATCTTCAGAAACGATATGATATTAATTAAACTATTTCAGATTTAAGGGGTTAATCCCAAATTAAATAAAAATCCTCAATACGATTGGAGCCCAAATAAATTATTTAATAACCTAGCTAATAACCTACCAATATTGTATCTCAAATATGGAAAATCCCATAACCATAATCATGCCAATACTTTCAAAATGATTAAAATAAACTCTAATAAGGTTAACAAATTAAATATGATTTGGTGAACCCACAAATATTATAAAAAAAACATAACTAAGATAATCCGATGCTAACAGCAGATTAATTTCAAAATTATATGTTTCCTTCTAATAAAAACGATTAACCTAATCCTCAACCTATCCAAAGAGAAAGTAAATTTATGCAATAAACTGCAAATATAAACTAAGGATTTCTGTCATCCCAATTAAGAAATTAATAGCCTTAAACAAACAATAATACTAGATTAGCAAATGAAGATTAGATTTCTAATGAAACAGATTAAGTTTAAGCAGTTAAGTAAAATCCTTAACCAAATAACACTTTCAGAGTTTCATAAAATAATTTTCCCCAAAATTCTAATATTACAAATTAATATTAAGATGTAGATTCAAAAAATAATTAGTAATAATAGATATCTTAACAATAACCTAAATAAATATTTAATCTAAATAATAATTTACAGTAATAATAACCTTAATACGGTGCTAATGGTAGAGTTACAAATCCTAGATTTTAGAGAGAAATTAATAATTCTCAAAAACAAACTTAAACATTTGTACAAAAATGAAAGAATTGATATATATTAATAATAAAATAATGAAATATTAATTTGTTTTATATAAATATATGAAAGAGAATTAATAAATGAAATTGAATTAGATAATTTTTTTATTTAAATAGTTAGTATTTTTAATAGAAATGTAGAATGATTGGAACGTTCAAGTTTCAAATGAAAACAATATAATAAAGTACTAGAATCTTGAATACCATATTGAATAAATGTTAGGAACTGGAGCAAGTGCTAAAGTATACAAATCAAAAAAATTTATAAATTCAATAGAGCAAAAAGAAGAAGTTGCACTTAGAATCTAAAATCGATATTACAAATAAAATTATGAGTAATGGAATTAATTAAAAGATTTTAAATGGAAAAATACAACATATCCAATAGAGAATATACCAGGTAGTTTTTTGTATACTGAATTCGAATTATTTGATGGTAATCTTACATCTCTTGGAAGTCAAGACCTTAAGACAAATATCTTTAAAATTGCCTAAACTATAGCTTATGCTTTATCAGAAATTCATAAGTCAAATTTTATTCATTATGATGTAAAGCCTGATAATATAGTATTCAAAAAGATTAAAGATTAAGAATTTAAGTTTGCACTATGTGATTTCTCCTCAATCCAAACTCTGGAAAAGGCAAAAAGTGAAGAATTATTCATTGAAGCAACACCTCAATTTGCACCTCCAGAAATTTAAATTTAAGGTATTTCTAAAGATACAGATGAATCAAGCGATATTTGGTCATTAGGAATGACTCTATACAATCTCTATTCTTAACATTT